AAACCCTCAACCCCTTAACCCCAAACCCTACATGTACGCAACCTCCCTCCGGCTGGGGCTGCTGCTCGCCAGCCTGGCAAATACAGGAGAACAGGTCGGGCTGTTGGGGCTTACCCGTGGTGGCTGTTCCACGCCGTTGCTTAGGGCTGAGAATAAAAATAAGTTTAGGATGCAGTGTTTTACAGGGTTTAGAATGTAACTTCGGATTTAGGGTTCAGGGTTTAGCGATGTGGCTTTTGGACGAGGCTTGGGAAGTCGGGCGCTTCGCTGGTGAACATTTTATCTAACACGTGTAAGTAACGGCTCGCTTTCCGCTGAAGTCGGGGCTGACTAGTTCACATAAAGACGGTTGACGGTTTCAGGTTTAGGTAGTAGAGCTTATGGACTAGGGATTCGGATTTAGGGTTGGGGCTGTCTCAGTTGTGGATGTGACACTGGTCTAGACCATGGAAGTTGAATTCGTCGGGTAGAAGGGAACATAAAAGAAATAAACCCCTGGTTGTACATTCAACCTTATCCAGAACCTCTTGCATCTCGGTACTATTAACAGGACAGCTCGGTGTGGGTTTAGCGTATCTTACGACACTGAACCCCACATTCCTGAACATGATAGTACCTTGTAGTAACCTTGTAGTACCCTTACACCAATGTTATAGCAACGCTATAAGTCTACTATATGTTTATGCACTATGCTTGCTTTTGTCTCGAACTTGGGTCGGGACTACTAAATTGACTGAAGCGGCTCTTTCATGTAGCTCCAATCGGAAAAAAGCATCTGTGGATCCGAAACCAAGCCGCCAAATGCGCAAAGCTTGAGTTGAACCCTTATATAACCTCAAACGGTTTAGGGTTTAGGACGTATTTAGTGTTCGAGTGCTCACCAACCTCCTTGACAAAACGGCTTAAGGCTTGCGCTGTTGTTCGGAGTCTCCAATCAGTGAGCGCTAAACGGACCTTACATACCCTGCACACCCTAAGAACGAAACTTAGGCCCTAACTCCTCAACCCTACAGTCCTAATGTACAGGATGCAGGGACTGGAACTTCGTGTGGTTCTAGCCTGGGAGTTGCCTCGATCTTACCATACACTGGGATCCAGAGTTTCTGGGTCTTTGGGGAGGGGGGTTGAGGAGTTTGGGAGTTAAGGAGGTTGAACCCCAAGCCCTAAACCCTAAACCCCAAACCCGAAACCGTCTTCCAGGTTTTGGGGTTTGGGGCTTAGGGTTCAGGCGTTTCCGGGAGACCTAGTCTTAATGAGGACCCCTGTCCTATTCAGGTTTAGGGTTTAGGGTTTAGGACACAAGAAATCGAGGTCAGAACAACCCCAGCGTAGCACATAAGAGAAAGGATACCCTCATGAGCATTCATCTAGGAACGGTATAGCTTCATCATTGCTCTTAGTAGTATTAGCACCAAAACCCTAAACCTAAACCCCAAACCGTGGACGGTAGGGGGATGTCAATACTATTATTCGTATTCGTGCTATTATTGCTGCTGCCGATTCCTCAGATCCCTCTACTAGACCTGTACTGGACTGGGGAGCCCCATCTGCCTCAAAACCTGAGTTTAGAGATTGTAAGGTTTCTGGGTTTAAGGTTTAGGAATCAGGGTTTAGGGTTCAGGGCTTTCGGTAGGGATTTAGGGTTCAGGGTTTGCAAGGTGTAGGTTTCTGGGATTGGGTTGTAACGTAACGAGTTTGAAGCTGCAGCGCTTCTAAAACACACAAACCCCTAACCTTACACCCCTGAGCTCTACGTCCTAAACCCCTAAAGCCTAAACCCTAAACCTAGCCCCACAGTTTCTAGCCATAGGCTCCTAAGTAGTTCCATTTTTATGGTTCATATTTAGAAGCCTATAAGGCAATCCCAAAAAGGAACTACTAAGGAGCCTATGGGTAGAGCTCCCTAGTCCCTATCACGTCGGCGCGCCTGCATATCCTCGCCGCGGTGTGGCCATGTCCGCGAGGCAGACGGCGAGAAGAGCGGAAACCCATGTGAGCGTGTTGTTAGAGTTAATGGTTGCGATTCATATGCTTAAATAAACAAAGAAACGAATACATATAATCAAGTAATTACTTACTTGATTAACTGGCTATCTAAACAACTAGTCATATACCGAGAGAGCGGATTGAAAGTAGTTCGTAAGGTTGCGGGCTCCGGGTAGCAGGGTTAAGAGTTCAGGGCAACTGTTAGGATTTAGAAAAGCTGATTGGAAGGATTGTTATCGGTCTTGCGTTTCGAAAGGACATATAGGAAGGAGTGGAGCCTGTCCAGTTACCTAAACACTGCTTTACTCGGTCAAACATTCTAGGGTTAGGTGGCCTACTGTAAATTTAAAGGTCCTAGGGGTTATGACATGACGGATCTCCTATCTCCAGCAGCTACACATGCGTCGGGCTGGTGGGCTTCCGGCAAGTTCAACGGGCTGCCATCCCGTCACCGGCAAGACGGTTTAGGGTTTAGGGTTTTGGGTTTTGAGGTTTAGGGTTCTGGGGTTTAGAGTCTAGGGTTTTGGGGTTTGGGGTTTAGGGTTTATAGTGAACCCCAAAAAGTTGGAAACCGGATTCAGGACAATTAATGCTGGGATTCCCCATATATGACTCTTCAGGATTGAGGCTATTGGGTTTCCAACTTTTGGGCTTCTACTGTAGGGTATAGGGTGCTCAGGTCCTGAAACAACTGGGGCCAGACTGCCACACCGCAAGCGAAACGCAGGCAGGCAGTGCCAGGCAAGTCACTTTGGGGCCTTCTGCACTCCATCCAGGCAGAGAGCTACCTGCTCAACTTCAAACCTCCTGCAACTCGAGAAATAGATCCCTGAACCCTAAACCCTAAACTCTAAACCGACCCGGTCACGGTCGGAAAAAGCTTGGCGGATGTGAACTACGGCCTGGCAGATCGTGGCTTGAACACGTCCCAAACCCTCGGGAAGGGTTTGCGCCCACTGTCCACGGCGCAAGGCTCCGTCGATGACTTCTCCTGTAGCACTGCTCCAGTTCACCGTTCCTCGCCGGATAGGTCGAGCCCATCCCCATATAGCTCCAAGTCTCCGAGGAGCAGTAGGGGAGAATCTGGATTTGAGGTACTCCGAGGATGATGATCGAAGGCATGTTGGGTTGTCATGAGCTGCACGAGGCCATCATACGAACCTTACGGACTAGGTTCCCCGGTAGCCCCTTAATAGTAAGGGGACCCTTTTTCCTTACTATTTGGTTTTTATTAGTGTTTCCAAAAAGAAAAAGAGCAGAAGGGTACTACTGGGGAAGTTAGCGGACCTTAGAGCTCAGAGTGAAGGTTGGCCTCGCCCGAGCCCAGGGCAGCGGCCCGAACTACCTCAAGGGCCTCCGTCAAGTTTGCAAAAGCGATGTCTCGGCTTCCGATGCCCCGGCTATCCGGCACCAGGGGCAGCAACGTCATCCGCAAGTTGAGCATCTTCGACAGATATCGGTAATGCCCTGCAAAAGGCGTTCGGAAACCGAGCTCGAAGATCTCCACATCCTCTGGGCAGAAGAGGATGTTCGATAGAGCGCCGCCGTGGGCCCCAATGACTATCCGGGCCCGGGCGAAGAGCTGGGCAGTGCGCTTTGGCTTGGCACTTCCATCGAATACCTGGCCAACCAGGAAACTTCAGGAATGGTATGACTGGTTTTTCAGTCGCTTTTACATACTTCCATGAGCCTCCGTGCAGACACTCTTCTATAACAAGCCTGAGCAGCAGGTAAAGGCCCGGGGAGATGAGGCTGTTCTGAATATCATTGTCATTTGAAGGACTTTTGCTTGAAACCTAATTACTTGCCTTCAACCCTCAACGCTACTTGTCATGGGTCCCTAAAGTACGGAGCCGAGTCATCAACACCGCAAGGGGGCCTGGAATTGCAGCGTCGGCGTCGCGAGCTGCTTTACTTGCTCTGTGAACCAGGACTCCTGTGACAAGCTTGTTGAGCTAGGGGTTATTACTACTATAGATATTGTGGAGTGTGGTCTTAAAAAAACTGTATATTAGTTAAAGAACCCTAGGGAGTGTTAACTAAATACTTACTTATATCGGCTCCAATACTGCGTGTTGAGGCAAGATTCGTCTTGCAGGCTGCTTCGCATGTCGCCTTTCTTCCGCTTGATGAAGACAAGCCTCGGTCTCATGTGGCTGCGGTGTGGTGCTAGATGAACCTTACGAAAGAGGTCATATACCTATGAGACTCTTCTAGCAACAAAGGCACAAAGGCATATATGTACCATAAACACATTTAAATCCCCAAGGTAAGTCTGAGGGTTTACTTGGCGGGGCTTGTTGTGCATGTCCTGTTGGTACTCATAAAAAACCATAACCCTAACCCCCAATACCCTAAACCGAACAAGCTGCACCCCACGGACTTCGATCCCACCGCCGGATAGCCTGCGGTTAGGCAAAGGCCTGTAGGGCTTAGTCTACAGGCTGAGGCTTTAGAATCTTCAGGGCTTAGGGTTGCAGTGTCAGATTCTGCTCCCAAGGCCCCGAGAGGTATTTGACTTTGGGGTTTGGGTTCAGGCCTGGCCTCATGACAGCCCTTCCCAAAGAGTATGTACCCACCCTATAGAACCCATATTGGTTTTGATAGGGGCCCAAATTTTCAACCACCCTCGGTCTCAGCCTCTGCACCCCACCACCTTCCTGCAGAGCCCTGGGCGCGACTAGAAATGAACAGGCTCTGCAATCAGAGAAACACTACTCCTGATAATGCCTCTGCAGCCTCTGCAAGTCTATGCTAGCGATACAGCAACGGTAATAGCAGCAAAACCCAAAAAGCGATCAGAATTCCATCAAATGCCGGCAACTACATTCAAGCACTCTAGCAAAGGTGTAGACTTTACCTATTGCTCTGGTTCGCCTAGCATGTCTCACTCGGCGGAGTGCCCCGAATCTGAGTGGTATGCGCTCACCGCGCAAGGCCAAGCAAACATACCTATAGGTCCCCTAGTCCCTATATACCCAAACCGGACAAAAATACGGAATCCGAAGGATCAAACCTAAGACAAAGAGACGGAAGCTCCCTAAACCCTAGCCGTATACCCTAGATTTATACCCTAAACATATCCCCAAAACAGAGGTTTTTATACCCCGATGCCTTAAACCCTAAGCCCTTGGTAGCAACCCCCTTAGACTGGCCCTCAAGCTATCTGACCGCCCAGGGGCGCGCGAGGCGCCGGCCTTTGAGCAGCGAGCGGCTGCAATGCGCTGCAGAGACCCCGGAGCACGGCCCCGGGTGTGGGGCAGTGGCCACCATCCTCGGAAGCTTTTTGGGGCTTCGTAAGGGAGCTTTAGAATGGGGTCCTTCTGTGTGTCAGTTTTCAAGGTTGCTCTCAGGTTTATGTTACTGTAGAGGTCGAGGCTAGTGACCAACAAGAATTCAGCTAGGTTCCTTTTTGCTGGGTTCAGCCGAACTGCGTCCCCGAACTTCACCGGAGACTTCCAGTTCGCGAAGACGAGCGTTCCCGCCCGCAGTCGAACGTCATTTGGCCCTGACGTCCAGTGAATGAACCTCCGAAAAGGGCTCAAGTACCGTCATAATAGCCTCTTAGTGGACATTTGGGGCCCAAAGTATGTACAGTACCATTATACTATTAACTACTATGCTATACTATACACTTGTAGCTCCTGAGCCACCGCAACGGGTCCATAATCATACATGGTAACAAACCGCACATATACTTTTTGTTTAACTTGTTATCGTCTGTATGTATAGACATACATACATACATA